ATTCCACAATGATGGAAAGGTTCTTATATTGGTTGACATGGTGGCTACAGGTTTGCATGCATTTGTCAAAATTATTCTACTGTACTATGAAAATGTTAGCTTTTTACTGTATATATAAATTAAACATTGATTATTTCTATATTGGTAAAGACAGATTGATTAATTGATGTTGTAGTATTAAGATCATCTAAGCAAAATTAACACTTAACAGACCATAAAGGGTCATCAGGTGTCAGCAGATTTCCACCTTCAGAGAAGACATCCAGGTTGATCATTTTAATTCCAAAGGACAAAAGTATTTTTCACAGTACTGGATATTCCAGAGTTTCTGCATCCTCTTCCATTTACTACGTGACAAAAAAGTTTAAAGTGTTGGTAGAATTTTTTTTTGTTTCTGTGTTGTTTTTAAAGCAACTAGAAAGATGGATATAGAGATTAAAATTCTAAGATATATTTCACTTACAAACTTAAATATATCTGCCAGATAAACCAACACATAGATGCAGCGTTCAAATAGTTCTGGATGTAGTCTATCTCTTTTTTAAATTAGTTTTTATTGGAGTAGCTGATTTTAAACATTGTGTTAACTTCTGCTATACAACAAAGTGAATCAGTTATACATATACACATATCTACACTTTTTTTAGATTATTTTCCCATATAAGTCATTACAGGGTATTGAGTGAGTTCCTTGTACTATGTGCTAGGTCCTTATTGTCTATTTTATATTTAGTAATATGCATATGTCAATCCCAATCTCCCAATTCATCTCACCCTCCTTTTCCCTCTAAGTGTCCATACTTTTGTATTCTACATCTGTGACTTTATTTCTCTTTCATAAATAAGTTCATTTGTAACCTTTCTTTTTAATTAATTTATTTATTTTTATTGGAGGTTAATTACTTTACAATATTGTAGTAGTTTTTGCCATACATTCACATAAATCAGCCATGGGTGTACATGTGTTCCCCATCCTGAAGCGACCTCTCACCTCCCTCCCCATCCTATCCCTCAGGGTCATCCCGGTGAACCGGCTCTGAGCACCCTGTCTCATGAATTGAACCTGGGCTGACGATCTATTTCACATATGGTAATATACATGTTTCAATGCTATTCTCTCAAATCATCACACCTTCGCCTTCTCCCACAGAGTCCAAAAGTCTGTTCTTTACATCTGTGTCTCTTTTGCTGTCTTGCATATGGGGTCATCGTTACCATCTTTCTAAATTCCATATATATGCATTAATAAATGCATGTATTGGTTTTTTTCTTTCTGACTTACCTCACTCTGTATAATAAGCTCCAGTTTCATCCACCTCATTAGGACTGATTCAAATGCAGTCTTTTTAATAGCTGAGTAATATTCCATTGTATACATGTACCACAGCTTTTTTTTTCTTCATTTATTTTTATTAGTTGGAGGCTAATTACTTTACAATATTATAGTGGTTTTTGTCATACATTGACATGAATCAGCCATGGAGTTACATGTATTCCCCATCCCGATCCTCCCTACCACCTCCCTCTCTACCCAGTCCCTCTGGGTCTTCCCAGTGCACTAGTCCTGAGCACTTGACTCATGCACCCAACCTGGGCTGGTGATCTGTTTCACCCTAGATAATATACATGTTTTGATGCTGTTCTCTCAAAACATCCCACCCTCGCCTTCTCCCACAGAGTCCAAAAGTCTGTTCTGTACATCTGTGTCTCTTTTTCCGTTTTGCATATAGGGTTATCATTACCATCTTTCTAAATTCTGTATATATGTGTTAGTATACTGTAATGGTCTTTATCTTTCTGGCTTACTTCACTGTGTATAATGGGCTCCAGTTTCATCCATCTCATTAGAACTGATTCAAATGAATTCTTTTTAATGGCTGAGTAATATTCCATGGTGTATATGTACCACAGCTTTCTTATCCATTCGTCTGCCGATGGACATCTAGGTTGCTTCCACGTCCTAGCTATCATAAACAGTGCTGTGATGAACATTGGGGTGCACGTGTCTCTTTCAATTCTGGTTTCCTCGGTGTGTATGCCCAGCAGTGGGATTGCTGGGTCATATGGCAGTTCTACTTCCAGTTTTTAAAGGAATCTCCACACTGTTCTCCACAGTGGCTGTACTAGTTTGCATTCCCATCAACAGTGTAAAAGGGTTCCCTTTTCTCTGCATCTTCTCCAGCATTTGTTGTTTGTAGACTTTTGGATATCAGCCATTCTGACTGGTGTGAGATGGTACCTCATTGTGGTTTTGATTTGCATTTCTCTGATAATGAGTGATGTTGAGCATCTTTTCATGTGTTTGTTAGCCATCTGTATGTCTTCTTTGGAGACATGTCTGTTTAGATCTTTGGCCCATTTTTTGATTGGGTCATTTATTTTTCTGGAATTGAGCTGCAGGAGCTGCTCGCATATTTTTGAGATTAATTCTTTGTCCATTGCTTCATTTGCTATTATTTTCTCCCATTCTGAAGGCTGTCTTTTCACCTTGCTTATAGTTTCCTTCGTTGTGCAAAAGCTTTTAAACTTAATTAGTTCCCTTTGTTTATTTTTGCTTTTATTTCCATTACTCTGGGAGGTGAATCATAGAGGATCCTGCTGTGATTTATGTCAGAGAGTGTTTTGCCTATGTTTTCCTCTAGGAGTTTTATAGTTTCTTGTCTTACATTTATATTTTTAATCCATTTTGAGTTTATGTTTGTGTATGGTGTTAGAAAGTGTTCTAGTTTCATTCTTGTACAAGTGGTTGACCAGTTTTCCCAGCACCACTTGTTAAAGAGATTGTCTTTTCTCCATTGTATATTCTTGCCTCCTTTGTCAAATATAAAGTGTCCATAGGTGTGTAGATTTATCTCTGGGCTTTCTATTTTGTTCCATTGATCTATATTTCTGTCTTTGTGCCAGTACCATGCTGTCTTGATGACTGTAGCTTTGTAATATAGTCTGAAATCATGCAGGTTGATTCCTCCAGTTCCATTCTTCTTTCTCAAGATTGACTTGGCTATATGAGTTTTTTGTATTTCCATACAAATTGTGAAATTATTTGTTCTAGTTCTCTGAAAAATACCGTTGGTAGCTTGATAGGGAGTGCATTGAATCTATAGATTGCTTTGGTTCATATACTCATTTTCCTTATATTGATTCTTCCGATCCATGAACAAGGTATATTTCTCCATCTATTTGTGTCCTCTTTGATTTCTTTCATCTGTGTTTTATAGTTTTCTATATATGGGTCTTTTGTTTCTTTAGGTAGATTTACTCCTAAGTATTTTATTCTTTACATCACAATGGTGAATGAAATTATTTCCTCAATTTCTCTTTCTGTTTTCTCATTGTTAGTGTATAGGAATGCAATGAATTTCTGTATGTTAATTTTATATCCTGCAACTTTACTATATTCACTGATTAGCTTTAGTAATTTTCTGGTGGTGTCTTTAGGGTTTTCTATGTAGAGGATCATGTCATCTGCAAACAATGAGAGTTTTACTTCTTCTTTCCCAATCTGGATTCCTTTTATTTCTTTTTCTTCTCTGATTGTTGTGGCTAAAATGCCCAAAACTATGTTGAGTAGTAGCAGTGAGAGTGGGCACCCTTGTCTTGTTCCTGACTTTAGGGGAAATGCTTTCAATTTTTCACCATTGAGGATAATGTTTGCTGTGGGTTTATCACATATGGCTTTTATTATGATGAGGTATGTTCCTCCTATGCCTGCTTTCTGGAGGGTTTTTATCATAAATGGATGTTGAATTTTGTCAAAGGCTTTCTCTGCATCTATTGAGATAAGCATATGCTTTTTATCTTTCAATTTGTTAATGTGGTGTAACCTATCTTTTTTTAACCTCATAGAATATTTACCAAAATTTTAATCAAGAATTTTAAGAACTTCCCTGGTGGTGCAGTGGATAAGAATCCACCTGCCAATGCAGGGGACACAGGTTTGTTCCCTGGTCTGGGAAGATCCCACATGCCACAGGGCAAATAATCCCATGTGCCACAACTTCTGAGCCCACATGCTGCAACTACTGAAGCCTGAGCACCCTAGAACTCATGCTTTGCAACAAGAGAAACCACCACAATGAGAAACCTGTGCACCACAACACAGAGAAGCCCCTGCTGGTATCAACTAGAGAAAGCCCACTCACAGCAACAAAGACTCAGTGCAGCCAAAGATAAATAAATAACTTCTTTTAAAAAGAATTTTAAGATTGATTTTCTAGAATAGTGATCTCAGAACAATTTTTATTACACATCCTTAACAAAATTTAGTCTAGAAACACTTCATATTGAACAGTTATTTATATGAGTTACATACCTATAATATCATACAATATGCTTACTATTTAAGAATAAGAATTTAAAATTATATAAAAAATAGAAATTTTAATTTTGCATTTTACTCACTAATGGTGAAATTAATGTACTCTCACTTTTCAATTATTACTATTATTTTTAGAGAAAAGTATGATATGATATGTTACATTATTTTGCAAATCTTAGCTCAAAACTGTTTTGAAAGTGTTTAAGTTACATATTGCTGAAGAATAAGCCACCCCAAAACTTAGTGGTTTAAAACAGCTGTTTTATTATTTTCACAATTCTCTCTGTTAATTGGTACACAGCTGAATACTTCTTCATTTTAATCTCACTCTTTAGACACAAATCTTACATAAAATCTATAACACACAAATAATTACTGGTGCTCAAAGGAAGATGAGAGAAAATAGGCTATGAATGACATTTACAAAAAGATGGAAAGTAAAGTTCTAGCACTGACTAATATTTTCAGCTTGAAATAATGCACATGCCAAAAAGACATTTGGGAGTGGCAAATTTTGCCCCCCTTAAATTTTGTGAATGAATAAATGAATGAATATGTGCACAACCTTCTGGAAAATTCTATTAAGATCCTTAAACAAGACATATGAGTAACAAGAACATATTAGCTATTTCTATGATGTAGGATACCGATTCAACCTCATGGTTATGGAGAATGTTCCATTTTATAAGTAGATCTTCATCATCTTGCAAATAAACTTGTGACCCTCATTACAAGGACTATCATTCCAGCCCCATTTTCTTGAGACAGCATTTAGCATAACACAACGCTCATTAGGATTGTTGGGTTCACCTTGATGCCAGAATCTGATCGCCAGAAATGGGGGGAAAAAGGATGAGAACGTTTCTTTAAGAAGTGCTTTGGACAAAAAAAAAAAGTGCTTTAAAAAAAGAAAGTAAGGGAGATGGCTAGGCATGGAAGTCAAAGTCAGATATGCCCAAATCATTCTTTCCCACTTCTCATGAAGTTTTTCCTCCTCTGTATCTCTGAGATTTCCCTTGAAAATTGTTCTTAACATCACTCAGCACTGTCATCTTATTTCATTAAGCACTCTCCCAGCAGGCATTCCAGAGGCTGCCTTCTGTTTCTCTACTTAAGTCCTGTTCCCAGTAAATTGTTAGTCCACAGGCTCTCTTAAAAGATGTAAAAGACTTCCTACTGGTCTCAGGTATCAGTGTACTGTGTTTCATTTTTTTATGCACTGCTTTTGGAGTCTGATGAGCTAGCTAAAATCTCTGAATCAGCTACTATCCCTGTTACCTTGGACAAGGAATTTAATTTCACAGATTCATAGGGACTAGATTAATATCTCTGTATGTTTCACACAGTGATAGGATCAAAGGTGGTAAAGTACTAAAATGTAATAAAATACTTAAGAGTTTCAAAAGAACTATATAAATATAAGACTATCAGAATTTAACATATTTTCTGTATGAGAGATATTAAATTCTTGATAATTAGTCATGATCTTAATTGACATACATTTCTGTTATATTTAGAGGTAAAAATAGTAGCGCTTAAAAGCACAAGTTTGGATGTCAAACAGACCTGGGTTTGAGGACCATTGTAACCACTGCTGGATAACCACTGAGTTATCTAAACTCTTTAAACTCAGTTTCTTCATCCCTATAGTGAGGATAATAATAATGTGTGCCTCATAGCATTATTTGATGATTGAGCTAATAAGGAAAATTATTTAATCTAGTACCCAAGAATTAAAAGAATGTATTTTCTTTTTTTTTTTTTTTTTTTTTTTGTTGTTGGTCTTGTTTATCTCACAAGACCTCCAAAAATTATGTAGAACTCCCCTATAGCCCTCCTCAGGGGCGGGGGTGGGGGGACCCTAACTCTGAAGAGTATTTTCTTTTATTAAAGTATAGTTGATTTACAATGTGTTTGTTAGTTTCAAGTTTACAGCATGAACTATTTTATTTTAATAACTGATCAATGGAACACCCTAAAATCCCTGTAGAATGGAGAACCCGGGTTTCTTTATTTAATTCTGTACTCACGTGGCACTTTCATTGTATAGTGTCTGATCAACCCATTGCCAGTGTCTTTCTCCCATTGTCAATGTCCGGTCTGACAGGCCCACATAATAAGCAAAATTAATTCTCAGTTTCTGGGTGATGAAATCCTAAAGGAATAAAAAGAAGCAGTTATAGCCTTTAGAACAGTCAGGTAGAATTGAGTTACATATGGCTTTACAGAGAAGAGAAGAAAAAGAGAAAATTCAGAATGAACCATACGGGGGCCCTGCAGAGGAGTCTTCGGTTTTTTCTGGCAGAGCAGAATAGAATCAAAGATACCACTTGTGAGCCTGAGGTTGGTCTTAGTCTGTTTAGGCTGGATTGCTTATAAGTGACAGAAATTTGTTTCTCACAGTTCTGAAGGCTAGAAATCCCAGGTTATGGTACCATGTGGTAAGGTGGTGGTTCCTAGATGGTGTTTTCTCATTGTGTGCATTCACACACGTAGGAGGAGAAGTTGCTCTGTAGAATCTCTTTATTAAAAACATTAATCCCATCCACAGAGGCTTCACCCTCATGACCTATGCAGCTCCCCAAACCCGTACTTCCTAATATGATCATCTTTGGAGGTTAGAATTTCAACATATGGATTGGGGCAACAGGACACAAACATTCAGAACATAGCCATGTTCAATACATGTGGAGGCAATTTCTATTCACGATCATAATGAATTCTCATCTCAAACTCACTTCACTTCGTTTCTTCCTTAAGATAGGGTATTCTTCACAGTTGTACATGAGAAAAATTTTGCAAATTAAACAATTTTCCTTTTAACAACGTCAGATTGTTAGTGGTCATTCCTGATCATTGATTGTGACTCTTCATGATTGAACTTCATTTCCCAGTTGGAGTTAATGCCTGTTCCCTGTTTATATAGTTAATAATTTATGAAACATTTATGTGTTTTATATTTCAACAATGATAATAAATAATATTTATTATTTGAAATAAATGAAATCATATTTCAGGCTGAAATATTTTCAGCCTTCCACTTAACTCCTATGTAGTATATTTTCAATTCCACAATTTATTTGGGACAGAGGTTAGTTTTATAGAAGAAGAAAAAAGGCATGGAATGTAAAATCTTAGGTAACCTTTTCTATTTATTTTCTTAAGCCTTCTGCCACAGCACCAATATTCTAAGACAATAAAAATCTCCTTCTTAACTAAGATGTTTAAAAACCAGACAACACTCTTGACTCTATTATCAATTAGAAAGTAATAATACCTGCTCAGCTTTGGTGTTGATCACCAGCAGGTGAGCGTTCATTCTCAAGCATTTCTTCTCACTATCATTCCAAGTATTATATCCATTAGAAATAAAGTAGCAGTGAGAACTAAATGGTTCCCAATTCTTTGGGCAGCAGCTCCAGTCTTTCCCTGTATTGAGAAGAAGGCTATATCAGTGCAATATAAGAATAATTTTTAAAGTACATAAATTATTTAAAAAATTAAGGATCAGAGGAGAATACATGAAAAACAGGACTCTTGTCAGGTGTCAAGGAGGTCAAGTCTGCCTACATCAGACAGTGACAAGGTAGGACCCCCTTTCCTTTGCCTGAGTGGTATCAGGAAAAATCAGATAAAACAGAAGTTTAAAGAAGATCCTCAGAACATAATACAGAAATACCCAAGTTTCAGTGGAAAATTACTTATCATACCAAGAACCACAAAGTTCTCAAAAATTAGCTTAAAAAAATACATACATATATATGCCAACACCAAGATAAGAGAAATACTGAAGTTATCTGGCAAAGATTTTTAAAAAGCCATGGAAAAATGCTTCAACAAGTAAGTACAAATGTTTGAACCATGCGAAAAAATAGGAAACCTCAGCAGAGAAATTGATAATTCAGCAAACAAATTAAAGATATAAAAGGGAATCAAATGGAATAGTTGGAAAACATAATAACAAAATTAAAAGCACAGAGGATGGGCTCAACAGCAGAATAAAGACAGAGAAATCAATGAATTAACAGATAGAATAATAGAAATTACTCAACTGAGCAAGTAATAATAACAAGTGAAAAGCTGAATGAACTGAAAACCAGCAACTCTTCATACATATAGCAAACCACCGCCCTCAGATCTGGAGAGACACAAAGGGAAATATGGAGAATCACAACATATTAGAGCAGAAACCTCTTTGGGAGCCAGTCCTAGGGTAGAGAAATCAGAACTGTAATTGTGGAATTGCTGGAAGCACAGTGTGGACAACTCTAAGAGATCAAAAGTCCAGGGTGGCCCAGGCAATGTAGAGGCACCAACACTTCCTTGAGTTTTACATCCTGGAGTTCCACAAGGTTGTTGTTGTCATTGATTGAACTGCTGTTGTACAGTCTCCTGCACTGGCAGGCAGATTCTTTACCACTGAGCCACCAGGGAAGCCCCAACACTATTGATACTATGTATAAAATAGATAACCAATAAGAACCTACTGTACGGCAGAGGGAACGCTACTTAATGCACTCTGGTGTTGTAAATGAGAGAAACCCAAGACGGTGGAGTATTTATGCATGTATGGCTGATTCATTTTGCTAAGCAGTAGTAGCTAACACAACATTTTGAAGCAACTATAATGCAATAAAAATTAGTTTAAAAAAGAAAAAAATATTTCAAGATGCCTGCAACTGCAACGTACTCTGTAAATGACTGTGATTTCTGTTGTTGAGACACATGCTATCATGATTTGTTGCTTCCATTCATAGTTTTCAGAGAGCAGTGCCATCTGCCAGGAGCTTGTTATGAACACAAACTTGAGATGGGCTGTATCTCTGGGTTGTATCAGGAAAGTAGCCAGATCCATCCCCTCCCCATCAACTAGGCAGAACCAGTTTTTCAATTAGAAATAATTTGATAAGTGGAAAGATATCTCAAATAAAAAAAAGACCATTAAACATACTAGTTTTTCATCTTTATAAATATGGACAAAAGTGTACCACACTAACACTAGACCACACGAAGCAGGAAGTAGCTATATATATATATATATATATATATATATATCAGCAGATATATATATACTATATTATATTATAGTATTATATACATTATATATAGTAATATATATATTATATAGTATTATACATATATAGTATATATACAGTATATATGTGTGTATATACAGTATATATCAGTATACATACTGATATATACATAGTATATATAATATATATTCATGTATATACTTCAGAGCAAGGAAAGATTTCAGAGTTAAGATGGACATAGAATAAGGATAAAGGGTATTTTTTCTTGTTCAGTTCTCCAAGAAGCCATGTTATTGCTGTGGTTGTTGTTCAGTCACTGAGTCATGGCTCTTTACAGCGGCATGGACTGTAGCACTCCAGGCTCCTCCATCCATGGGGTTCTCCAGGTGAGAATACTGGAGTGGGTTGCCATTTCCTTCTCCAGGGGATCTTTCTGAACCAGGGATAAAACCCAAATCTCTTGTATTGACTGGCAAATTCTGTACCACTGAGTTAACAAGGAAACCCCCAAGAAACCATAACGATCCTTAAACTGTATGTATCTAACAACAGACAATTAAAAAGTGAAGCAAAACCATAGACCTGCTAACAGAGTTTAGGTTTGGGGTAAAAAAAAATGGAAAATTTTAAAGCAGAGTATTTTATCTATTCTCCCAAAAATGTTTTATGTACATACAATATGATTTCTTAAAACATATATGAATTAAATCTCTCTTGACCAAATAAGTTTTAACTGGTATGTGAGTAAAAGAGCAAGTATGCACAGAAAGTTCAGAAAGAAGCAGACTGAAGAAACCAAAAAGCAATGTAATCTTTTTCATAATTAAGACTATTTCCTTGCACAAATGAATTAAAGATATGCATATTATAAAAATTTTAGGCCCCAAATATTTGTATACTTAAAACTTAAAATGTTCATGAGACTCAACCTTAGTATAGTTCACTTATTGGAAATATTGACCTAGGACACAGTATTGTCAATAACTGAATCACAGGCACATTAATTTTTACCTTCTAGGGTCGAATTTTCTTTCACACATTCCAATTCTGTGTGAGTGAGTTCTCTTGTAGCCTTTTCTTCTTTATGAACATAAGAACATTTTTGAAAAAAAACTGAAACAGAGAATAAGATCATTCGTTTTCCTGGTAGCATTATAGCTTCACTCTTTTTTCTAATAGTATAAACATTTTAATTAAAAGAAAGAAGTTGTCTGAATAGAGAAACAAAATTCAAATATGTGCTCAATTCTATGCTTATAAGAAATTAACTTCAAACTTAAACACCGAATAAAAGTAAAGAAGGCTAGTGGTTATATTAATGTCAGATAAAAGAGATGTCTAGATAAAACATTTATATTTTAATATAATATAATACTATAATATTATATAATATTAATGCAATAATATAATACTAAAATTTTATATTCATATTATTACATTAATATTATCTATTTATTTTAATATATAAAAATAATATAATGATACAATCAATAATATATTAATTATAATATATGATATAATGATGTGATTTTTTAGATTTTTATTTTATATTGGTGTAGAGTTGATTAACAATGTTACGTTAGTTTCAGATGTACAGCAAAGTGACTCAGTTATACAGACACATATCTATTCTTTCTCAGATTCTTTTCTCATTTAGGTTATTACAGAATATTGAGCAGAGTTCCCTGTCCTCTACAGTACCGTCCCTGTTGGTTATCCATTTTAAATATATAGTAACTTCCCAATTGGTTCTTATTCCTCAGCAGGCCAACACACAGATCTAAATATTCATTGAAAATAAATAAATAAATACTCATCAAGCCCTCACCTCCTTGATTCTACCTCCTCATTATCATTCAAAGGTATTCCCCTTCTCCTTCTTCACTACCTTAAATCAGATTCTCACTGTTTCTCAGTTGGACAATGAACTGTCTTTCTGATTATTCTCTCCTCATATATCCATTTTACACATCTCCACCAAAAGCGTATTCCTATAAATCAAATTTAGTTACATCACTTCCTTGCTTAAAATTCTGTATTGGTTCTCCATGACTGTGACACATTGCAAAAATGGCCATAATTTTCAACTCTCCCTGTACCCACACCCCTTTGCAATATAACTTCTTAGTTTTTCCAATCAACAAGTGGGGTCTATTTATTCACCACTTGAAACTGGACTGACTCTAAGAACTCCTTCAACCAACAAAATGTACAGAAGCAACTCTGTCTGTTGTTGTTGTTTAGTTGCTAAGTCATGTCTGACCCTTTGTGACCCCATGGACTGCAGCACGCCAGGCTCCCCTGTCCTTCACTATCTCCTGGAGTTTGCTCAAATTCATGTCCATTGAGTCAGTGATGCTATCTAACCATCTCATCCTCTGCTGTCTTCTCCTTTTGCCTTCAATCTTTCCCAGCATCAGTTATTTCCAATGAGTCGGTTCTTCGCATCATGGCCAAAGTATTGGAGCTTCAACTTCAGCATGAGTCCTTCCAGTGAATATTCAGGGTTGATTTCCTTTAGGATTGTTTCAAGCTAAGGCTTCAAGAGGCTTTACTCACAGCTGTTCTCACTCTGCCAGCCTACATGTTGCCATATGAACAAGCTCAAGCTCGCCTGATGAATTATAAAGAAGTGGAACCAATTTGTCCACATCATTCCAGTTTACATCCTCTTCCTCAGAAATTGGGTTACCTGCAGCTGGTACTTGACTATGTATGCATGAATGACTTTAGCCAGGACCAATGAAACATCTTAGCTGAGCCCAGTTCAAATTGATGAACCACAGAATCATGAGCTAAAAACAGTTGCTGTTTTAATCCACTAAGTTTTAGACTGGTTTATTAAACAACAGAAGATAATTGATAAAGTAATCTGCAGCGGGGGCAGGGGGAAATCCACACTCTTTAGAATTGTACAGGACACTCTTCGTGATCTGAACCCTGCTTGTTTCTCCCATCTGCAACCTCACAGTTAACTTAGCACCATACGTCACAGTCATTTAACATGTTTTTCCAAATTTTTTCAAGCCCTCTCACATCTGTCATTCTTGGTCCACACATGTCTAGATGTCACCTCCTCCAGGAAGCCTATCTCAGCTTGCTGTGCTTCTTACTCACAGAACATTTACCAGACATTGTTATAAACACTGGTTCATTCAACCAGTTGCCATCATCCTCCAAACTTCTCAAAACCAAGGGCTACAACTCTGCTGTCTCTATCTGGCATAGTGCCTGACATAGACTAGATGGCCACTGTACAGTTACTTATTGAATGACCAAATAATTGAATAAAGCATCTATCCAAAATGATACTAGTTTTATGATTTTTAAAAACTTGATGAATTTTGATAGGCAGAAATCTACCTATTTATCAAATGGATTTTAAGGGCTCATGCAGTCTTGAGAAAGACAAAAATAATTAAGATGAAAATTCAGTAGAATTTTTTCTTGGGAGATTTCTTCCCATTTCCTTCTTGTTCATCTGCTAGTCCCCAAATATGAGTCTATACCCTCAACAGGCATAGCCTTATAAACACTACTAAGAAAATACAGATTTGGTCTCACTTAAACAACTGTCTAGTGTAGAAATGGTGCCCTATATATTTCATCCTACAATACAGAAACATATACACATATATACTCCTTTCAATTTCTCTAAAGAGAGTGAATGCCATTATTTCTATAGAAGAATGACTAAATGCAAATAAAGGACCAAGCTCACAATGAATTCCCACTATCTATGTCTTCCCCCAGAGAAGACTTCTTTCCCAAATATCTGAATAAGCTCATAGTTTATCAGTTTATTTGATGCTATCTCTTCATGTCAGGCAGACATTTCTTATAGATCCATCTGGATACTTACAAATAAAAGCGATGAAAAATGAGATTGCCAATAGTAGCAGAAGTATCAGCAACGAGGTAAGAAGTAGCTTGGAAAAACTGTGGCCACTTTGGTGAAGGTTGTTCTCTTTGGGAGCTGAAGAAGGAATCAAACTAATCAGATTATTATCATGAATAATAAATTCTGACCTTGACTTCCTCTTGCTCCTTCTCTTCCTCCTCTCCCTTTTCTTGTATGATACACTATTACTATTACATGACATTATTTCAAATATGAAGCTACAAAGGAAATAGTAATATTCACTGTAGAAACGCTAGAAAATACATAAAAGCACATATTTCTACCATTGAGGATGAAAGTGAAAGTGTTAGTCACTCAATCGTGTCCAACTCTTTGCAACTCCATGAGCTGTATCCCACCAGGCTTCTCTATCCATGGAATTCTCCAGGCAAGAATACTGGAGTGGGTAGCCATTCCCTTCTCCAAGGGATCTTCCTGACCCAGGATGAAACCTGGGTCTCCTGCATTTCAGGCAGATTCTTTACTGTCTGAGCCACCAGGGAAACCCATTGGGGATAACTGTTAATATTTTGGCATACATTCTTCCAGCAATTTTTTAAGTGTATATACATGCATGCACTTTTGCCATATGACTGACATACCATATATATTGGGTTCTGACCTATTTTCTTGTATACTGTATCACCATATTTTCTTGTTTAACCCACTATATTGTGGTTGCATAGTATTTCATTATATATTTAAATAATCTTCCAGATTATTTCTAACTTTAACTACTTTACATAATGCCATAGCAGATAACTCTTTATAATTGTCCCTCATCACATCCTTAAAATAAAATCAGACTGTTTTATTAAATTTATTAATTTATTTTTAATTGGAGAATGATTACTTGACAATACTGTGTTGGCTTCTGCCATATATACACTCCATTGTTTATCACAGCACTATTTACAATAGCTAGGACATGGGAGCAACCCAGATGTCCATCGACAGACGAATGGATAAAAAAGTTGTGGTACCTATACAAATGAAATATTACTCATCCAGACTGCTTTTTAACTTTATTTTTTTATGGAAGTATAGCTGAATTACAATGTTGTGTTAAAAAATCAGATATTATTAGTCACCATTTCATGGTTGAGAATTATCTTACCAAGTGTCCATTGATGGGTGAATGGATAAATAAACTGTGACAATTGTATGGAATGGGTATTATTCACCTATAAAAAATAAGGAAATCTTGCCTTCAGGATGGACCTTGAGGGCATTATGCTAAGTGAAATAAGTAAGAAAGAGAAAGACAAATACCATATGATCTCACTTATCTGTGTAATCTTTAAAAGATAATAGTAACTCATAGACACAGAGAACAGAATGGTGGTTGCCAGAGGTGAGGGGTGATGAGGTGAGTGAAATGGGTGAAGGGGGTCAAGAGGTAAAAACTTCCAGTTACAAAATAAATAAGTCCTGGGATATAAGGTACAGTATAATGACTATAATTAATAATCCTATGGTTATAATATACATATATAAAATACTGCATATTTGAAGGTTGCTAAGAGTACATCTTAAAAGCCTTCATCACCAGAAAAAATACTGAGAAACTATGTATGGTGACAAATGTTAATTAGACATTGTGGTGATCATTTTGCAATATACATAAAAATCAAGCCATTGTGCTTATACATCTGAAACTAATATAATTTTGTCAGTCATCTCTCAATTGAAAAAAGAATTATTTTCTCAAAGTTATAATATACTGCCAAGTGGAGATAAAACCTGCAATAATGTATACTATGATCTCATTTTTAGAAAAACACATATGCATATTGACGTATATTTATAATTGGAAGGATGTACACAAAATGTAAATTATAGTTATCTCTAGATAATAAGAATAAATACAGTAATTTAAATTTGTGTGTGGACCTAGAGACTGTCAAACAGAGTGAAATAAGTCAGAAAGAGAAAAACGAGTATTGTATATTAATGCATATATGTGAAATCTAGAAAACTGGTACAGATGAACCTATCTGCAAAACAGAAATAGAGACACTGATGTAGACAACACAGGTATAGACACCAAGGCAGGGGAAAAGGGAGGTGGGATGAATTCAGAAATTGGAATTGACATATACACTCTACTATGTATAAAATAGATAACTAATGAGAACATATTGTGCAGCACAGGGAACTCTACTCAATACTCTGTAATGACCTATATGGGAAAAGAATGTAAAAGAGTGGATAAATGTACATGTGTAACTGATTCACTTTGCTATACAGCAGAAATAGAACACTATAAAACAACTAAACTAATAAAAATTTTAAAAATAAATAAATTGTGTGTACCTCTGGTTTTTTTTCTATAATGAACATTGCAGCATATAATATCAAAGTTATATAAATTTTTAAAATTTTTATTTATTTTTTAAAGGTTATCAAGTATTTATTTATTTATTTTGGCTGTGCCTGGTGGTATGTGGGATCCTAATTCCCTGACCAGTGATTGAACTTGTGCATTGGGAGTACAGAGTTTTAACCACTGGGCCAACAGGGAAGTCCCTATAAATTTTCTAAGGGGAAAAACAGTTTCCTGAGCATTTTCCATGTTTCTACAGAAGAATTTTGGAAAACATAAGCAATCATAACTTCCCTCTCACAGCTTCTCATAGTCTCCATGGTTTTTTTCCTTTTTTGTTCTGTATCTGAAATATCATACATGCTACCCAAATTACCTTTTATTTACTTCCAAACCTCACTGAATCCAACTCAGATACAGTGTGCAATGGATTTTCCGATTGCAGAGCAACCGCCCTCAAAACATAAGAGATTTTCTGTTTAAGACTTTCTAGGCTTTTATCTGCAATGGTCTTTTGTTCCATGTTAATCTGATACTAACCAATACACTCAAACACTCTGCACTCAGACTCTTCTCCCGTGACTGATGGAGAAACAAGACCCACCAATTCATCATTAGCCCCTGCGTCTGGACTGATGGGTTCAAGACCTGAACCCACTCTCTACACTGCAGTCTTAGCTCACCTCAGAAAGCACACAAGAACTACTCAGCTTCATTAGCACTCTCCTTAACTCAGGACCATAGTGGATTTCTCACACCTCAGTTTTGTCATGGCACACTTGTACCATCCCTTAATCTTTATTTTCAGGCAACTCGATTTGAGAATCCTGTGTTTCCCAACCATGGCCAGAGAAATAGCAACCAACATTCCCTGGCTTTATTTATAGTATTCTCTCTTCACCCTTCATCCCATCATTCACTCTGACCACCAGAAAGCGAGTCTTACCTGCAGGAGGCTCTAATTTGGTGCCTGAGGACTTGGGTTTATTAAACTTCACTTCAGCGTAAGTGATCTCGGAAGTCATGCTGAGATCTTCTGTTCTTGTCAAAGAATCCTGTCCGTCTCTCCCTTAAAACCACTTAAAATGAAATGCAAGCATGGTGCATACATCCTATCACACAACTAGCTGAGAACAGAGACCCTAGACAAACAAATAAACAAAAACCTTGAGAGGAATTTCATGAAAATTAAAAACCTCAGGGGTCCAAACCCCAAGACAGGCGCAGTGCTAATCATACCTTTAAACATTACACCAGCAAATAGCAACAGAAGTAGGAAGTCAAAGGGTAGGGGAGAAAAATAGGAAGGAAAGGAAAAGGGGAACAAAGCAGAGACATTCTCCCTGAGAACAGTGAACTTACCAGAAAGGATGAAATTAAAGCATTTGTGAGCATCTACCTGCAAACATAATCATTTGCAGACCCACCAACCTGAGTATGTACTCATTCACGTTTGCATTCTCCTCATCTTCTGGGGTTGATCAGGCAACTTTGGGGACTACATCCCAACTGACAAAACAACTTACTTGTCTGACTCCCCACTTCCAAAAGTCAGAGTCCTCTAGTGCAGTGGGAAGTCGAAGTTTAGATTATGTGCCTTTAGAAGTTGCTCTCCTGTGTTCTCTGCTCTTCCCTGTTCTTGACTAAGTCTATCATGCCTCCACATTTATTCTGCTCAAGTGCCCCTAGCAGCTCCTGAGAGCAGCTCTCTACTGAATACTAGAGGAGAAGGTTGTCTCTCTCTCTTTCATCCCCAGGATACCACAACAAAAGTCTTATGGATATACACAAGCCTTTAACAAATTAGGATAATTTAATGGATTCACAGTTTAGAGGAGGAACTAAGTACTACATATAAGCCAAGAGGAAAGCACCCCAAAAATTAAATCCTTCATGTAGAATCTTTTGCAGACATGCTCCCAGCTCACACCCAAGATTCAGCTCTCCCCACATGAGTCTTCTTTTTTTTTTCCAGTTTTTGGTGAACCACCCAGCTTACAGGATCTTACTTAGTTCCCCAATCAGGGCCCAGCAGTGAAGTACAGTACAGTTCAGTTCAACCACTGAACTGCCAGGGAATTCCACTGATTCACCTTCTTTTAGTCTCCCCACCTAATTCCTCTCTCCCCTGCATAACACACACACACACACACACACACACACACACACACACAACACACAAGCATTTACCTCTGTATTTATTTCTATGTCTAAATATATTGAAAACCATGAGTTCACACTAACGTCTCTAATCCCAATCCTACGCAAAGAGTTCATTCTATTTTCTTCTCTTTCTGCATCTCTAACTCCCTCTGTGACAATAAGAAAACTGCTTCCATTCTCCTTACTTACTTATTTGATCAATGTTGTTGCTCAGTCACTAAGTCATGTCCAACTCTTTGCGACCCCATGGACTGCAGCATGCCAGGCTTCGCTGTCCTTCACTGTCTCCTGGAGTTTGCTCAAATTCATGTCCATTAATTCGGTGATGCCATCCAACTAACTCATTTTCTGTCACTTCCTTCTCCTCCTGCCTTCAATCTTTTCCCAGCATCAGGGTCTTCTCCAATGAGTTGGCTCTATGTATAACGTGGCCAAAGGATTGGCGCTTCGGCTTCAGCATCAGTCTTCCAATGAATATTCAGGGTTGATTTCCGTTAGGATTGACTGGTTTGACCTCCTTGCCATCCAAGGGAGTCTCTAGATTTTTCTCCAACACCACAGTTCAAAGGCATTAATTTCCTGGATTTAACCATTTTCTACCTTGGCTGCCCCTCCCTCCTTAACTAAGATGCCCTTCTCTCCTCCACTGGGCTCCTTTCTCCATCCAGGCCTTACCGCTGTTGGCACCACCTCTGCTCTGCACGGGAGTCCTGCACTGAGGCAGCCAACCCCCACAGCCATTTTTCCTCACCCTGCCCAGGTCTGCCGCCTTCCACAGCAAAGCCCTCCTTAACCTGCCTGGACTCTGATTCCTGAAACCAGTGCCCTGACCCGCATGTGGAATCCGCCCTCACCCCATTCAGGCTCTGACACCCTGTCCAAAGTCACCCTCCTGTGTGAAAGCCCTCCTCACCCCGCCTGGGCTCTGAGTCTCCATGCTGTGCTCCCTCATCATGTGGAGAGCCTCTGAAACCCACACCTGCATGGACGCCTTCCTCCCTCTGCTTGGGCTCAGACACCTCCCCACAAGGATGCCCTGGTCACTGCGTGAGCCCCCTGCACCAACCGCCACTCCGCCACACAGATGCCTTGTTCACCTCTCAGGCATTGGTACCCAGACCAGGCTGCTTATGACACCCCACACCGGGCCACAGCCACGTATGGACATGCTCCTCAGCCTGCACAGGCTCTGAGGTCAGAACACTTTCCCACCCCTACAGAGATGGTCTCTTCACTCATCTTGGGCTCTAACATCACTGCCAAACTAGCCCCCTGCACAGTCACCCTGCTCACCCTGAGTGAGCTCTGACTGCCTGCACCAGACCACTTGCTCCTCCCCCATCCCAACATTCAATAAACACCCACCTTGCTCTACCCACCTAATGCTTCATTTAGGACTGAATTGTTTAGTAAAGACAGGAAAGGGGGTACAAAAAACAGTAAGGGAAGAAAAAGAGCTAATTTTTATAAATTTCTCCAGCAAATAACTTCTGGACCTAATAAGCACTACTGGACCTTAACCATCTAAGCTGGTTTCTGGATTCAGGGGCAGTTCACCAGCTGCCCTTGTGGCTTCAGACCACAAGGTTCACTGTCCGCATCACTACATGTATGTGTGTCTGCAACTGACCCCAGCCACTTCACAGGTACCTGCAGCTCAGTACATACAAAAAAGAGGTAAATGGTGACATGAAAGAATACAAAAGGGGGAATAAAAGGGCAAAATTTTCGCATCCAATCAAAGTTAAATTGTTATCAGCCCACAGTACCATGATGGAAGGAAGGAAGGAAGGAAGGAAAAAGAAAGATATGATGTTTTATGGAAGCTTCAGGGTAAAAATCCTGAAGCATAAACCTACAGTAGAGTCACAAAAGGTTAAGAGAAGGGAATCAAAATATACCACTACAGAAAATCATCAATTCACAAAGGAAAATAGCAAGAAAGGAACAAGGGAACAACAAAAGACAAAAAACAATTAGAATGACATAGTAGGTCCTTATCTATCAATAATTACCTTAAATGTAAATGGATTGAATTCCCCAATGAAAAGACAGAGTGGTTGAAAAAAAAGCAAGACTCAACTGTATATATTCTACAAGAAACTCAGCTCAGCTTCAAGAACACACATAGGTTAAAAGTGAAAGGATGGAAAAAGATACTCCATACAAGTGGAAACCAAAAGAAAGGAGGGGTGACTATACATATGTCAGCAAAATAAGATGTTAAGCCAAATATGGTAGTGAAAAACAAAGAAGGTCATTATATAATGATCAAAAAGATAACAATCATAAATACGTATGCATTCAACATCAGAGCACCTAAATATATTAAGCAAATACTGACAGATCAGAAGGGAGAAATAGACAATAAATAAGAGCAGGATACGTCAATACCTTACTTTCAACAATGGATCGATTATCCAGATGAAAATCAACAAGGATATGTTGGACTTCAACCATACTTTAGACCAAGTGGACCTAAAACAGACATCTACAGAACATCCCTTCCAAAAAAGCAGAATATACATTCTTCTGAAGCACATAATATTCTTCAGAATAGGCCAAATGTTAGATCAAAACACAGTCTTAGCAAACTTAAGAACACTAAACTTGTACCCAGTATCTTCTCCAACCACAGTAGTATGAAACTAGAAATTAAGACCAGAAGGAAAGCTAGAAAGTTTACAAATATATGGAAATTAAACAACACAATCCTGAACAACCAATAGCCCAAGGAAATCAAGAGGAAATTTTTAAAATATCTTGAAACAAACAAACAAAAAAATGGAATACAACATACCAAAACTTATGCAAGCCTGCAAAAGCAGTTCTAAAATGGAAGCTTATAGTGATGGATAAAAGCCAACATTAAGGAAAAAGAAATATCTCAAATAAACAACCTCACTTTATAACTCAAGGAACTGGAAAAAGAAAAACAAAGTAAGCCCTAAGTTAGTAGAACAAATGAAATATCTAAAGTCAGAGTGAAAAAGAGGAACCATAGAAAAGATCAACAAAACTAAGAGCTGGTGTTTCAAAAAAAATAAACAAAATTGACAAACCTTTAGAAAGACTAAGAAAAGAAGAGAGAAGACTCAAATAAATAAAATCAGTAATGAAATTTGGGACATTACAACTGATCATACAGAAATGCAAAGGATCATGAGAGACTACTATACACAACTGCACACCAACAAACTGGATAACCTGGAAAAATAGAAAAATTCCTAGAAACATGTAGCCTACCATGACTGAAACAGGAAGTAATAGAAAATCTGAAGAGACCAATAACAAATAAGTAGACTGAATCAATAATCACAAACTTACGAAAAAGAAAAGGCTCGAACCAGATGGTTTCCCAAATATCCACCCAACATTTTTTTAAAAATTAGCAGCAATCCTTCTCAAACTCTTCCCAAAAATTCAAGAGGAGGAAACACTCTAGAACCCATTTTATAAGGCCAGCATTACTTTGATACCAAAGATGAGGATGCTACAAGAAAATGCCATTGTCACTGATGTATATGGATACAAAATTCTCAACAAAATACTAGCAAGCCAAATTCAATAACACATTTAAAGGACTGTACAAGTATACTAACACATATATATGGAATTTAGAAAGATGGTAACGATAACCCTATATGCAAAACAGAAAAAGAGACTCCAATGTATAGAACAGACTTGTGGACTCTGGGAGAAGGCGAGGGTGGGATGTTTCAAGAGAACAGCATCGAAACACGTATATTATCTAGGGTGAAACAGATCACCAGCCCAGGTTGGGTGCATGAGACAAGTGCTTGGGCCTGGTGCACTGGGAAGACCCAGAGGGATCCGGTGGAGAGGGAGGTGGGAGGGGGGA